ATGTAAACCCCAGAGGTTAATGATTTGAAGTAATCCTCTCCAACTCAGGCTAAAAAAAGCAGCTCAGTGCCTTTGCCCATGCATGGTCATTTGTAAGGAAATCTTTAATCAAGTGAGAGTGAGACTCCACACTGCAGTTTACCCAGAGGAAGTGATGTTTAGGCTGGCGGCAGAGAGACGACAGTGGATGACAGATTAGTAGTCGTGACTCTTTTGCTATTAAACAACTCCAACTGATACGTCGTAATGTCGTGTCTATATGTAATAGGAATACCGGAACATTATGTCCACTGAAGGAATGTGGCTTCAGTTTCTCCATTAGCAAATAACAGAACTACATAAGTATATCATTTATATTTTTAGTAGTATAGTAATATGTCATGAGGTGAAGTGATGGAGGACTCAAAATGCAGGAATGCAAAAAAAAAAAAACGGTTTAATGATAAAAATCAAATAAAAGTCCAAGATTAAACCAAAATCCAAACAACACCCAGGAACCAGGAACACAGACTGCCAAGGACAGACAATACAATGAACCAGCAACAAGAGGAAAGGAGCACTGGGTAGATGTAGACACAGACACAGGTGAAACACATCAGGGCGGGGCAGACAATCAACACAGGGGAACAAGACAGGAAGTACAACTAAAACCAAAATAAAAATACAAATAAAAAGTACAAAAATAAAAATCCACACCATGACAGTAATATATGTATAGAGTAATATATTTTGCATGTGCAAAATGAAACAGTCCTCTTGTAAGAGTAAATGCTTGCTAACAAATCACACCGCAACATGCTGCATACATATTATGGACATTATATCCATGTATGATGTATGCATTTTTAATTAAGAATAACTACACTTTAAACTTTTGTTTAAAGGTCAAACATGATCTGCATGTGTCCTATTATCTGAGGACACACACAACAGAGTGAATAGAACTATTGTGACGGGAGCATTGGAGCAGCAGTTAGGTTCCTCAGCAGTGAAACAGTCTTACTCCTAAAGACGTCATGATTACCGGACAAGCGTCAGTCAACTGAAAAGTTGTGCCAAATAAAATAAAAATCATCAGAGAGTTTGTCTTAAATACAAATTATCCATGGAACATCAATCTATTATAGCTTTACAACAAGCAGACGGAGCTGAGCTTTTTCTTTGGCACAACCGAAGACTCCAGAGCACATATTTGCTTTAAGTTATTGCATTACTCTTGAGTGTGCTTTAAAAATATAGACTTTGGCTTACAGCATTACTTTGGTTTGATTTCTGCATGAACCAACATGAACCTGCCACTGTAATAGAATGGTACATTGTGTTCATGTGGCATCACAACATTCCAAAGAGCCTATAGTTTGACAATGCTTTGGAGAGAAAGTGAAGAATATTTCCTGATAACAAAATCTACATTTACAGGGCTAATTGACATCACCAAATTGTACATATTTTTATCAGTATATTAACCCTGGTATGATGGGAAGAGGTGACAATATTAATAAAAACACAAATGCATGTTGGCAACAGTAGTTCTTTCTACGTATGTTCTTTCAGACATTAGAATATTATGTCAAGTTCTTTCATATACAGATATATTGGCACCTCCCCTCCAAATAAAATACAATTCTAGAACATGAACATTACAAAGCACGTACCATGACTTTATATGAACCATAAATAAGGCGTAACAAATGCAAAATGAACAAAACCAAAAGCACCTAAAAAATATGAGCAAAGATCATTCACGTCACGTCACAATTTACAAAAACAACAAAAAGTCTGCTCTGTACTGTACTCTTCATATCTGAGTGCTCCGTATTCAAGCTCTTCTCCACATCTAGGATCTGATATCAGCATGGATTGGCTCCTATCTCTCCTTCAGCGCAGCTTTAAAAAGTCTTTGATGTGACTGCTCAGAGGCCTGTGATGGACTCCAACTTATCCCTGTGTACGGTCCACAGCTTTCCTCAGCTGTTGCTTGGTTTTATTTTGCTGGATACTGGGGGGAAAAGTTATTATTTAGTATTGTGCGCTTTCAGTCTGCACATTTTGAGTTTTCAGCGGTAGCGCCTAGGCTATTCTTACACTTGGAATCCTTAGAGCAGTGTAGTCATGCGTGAATGTGTGCTTAAATAAATCAACACATGTAACTAAAGTCCAAAGGCTGTCAGGTACAAAAAAAATAAATAAGGGTAGTATCTTGGTAGTTGTATAGTTACTCCCCTGTCTGTACATTCACATATATAGTAACAAGCAGAACACAGGTAGACTAATGAACTCCATAAAAACTATGATTACCCAGCCAAAGCTAGAAAAATCAATAGTAATATGCTGTAATTATTTCCCATTTCACAGCAATAAACAGAGTCCCCTATATTCATCCATGGGAACCGTCTCCACCTGCATTCCTACACGTGTCCCGTTCAGTCACCATCAGAAAGGAGCGGGTACTTATGTCTGTCCTCCCATCTCTTCGTATACAGATGAATATGGATTGACGTGCCGGCAAGCATCAGCGTCACAATAAATCAAAGACAATAATGCTGTATGCTCGACGCCCTCTTACCTTGAGCTCAGAGCATCATCTTTGTATATCACAATATACATGGTATTTGTATGTGTGAATGGGATTACAATGCAAATGAATGAATACATCAAATTACCAATAGTTGGAGGAAAATGGAAGCAGTGGATGAACTAATACATGCTAATTATTATATCAATGCCCTAAGATGACCTAAGATGAATGTGTGGAACATATTATCCATGTTTTACAAATATAAGCATCAATAATAAGAGACTAACAATACAACGTCTTGGGAGCCGCCTCACTCCTGCGTCGTGTGGCCTCGGCCCTCATTTTATGGTCTGACTCCTGGATCTATAACCTGTCCATCCGTAGGAACAGATCCCTCTCTCAATGTGGGATCTCAAGGTTTCCCACTTTTTCCCACTGGGCTTTAGAGTTCAAAGACAGTGATGTTCATCCGCCCAATGGCTCCTATGTGTTTGTTATTATTGCATTTCCAAGGACTGTAAATGCAAAAATAACAAACTGATCTGTGTTGGCGAATTGACAACTTTGTAAAGTCCTCAGAGAGGACAACTGTTGTGATTTAGGGCCATACAAGCAATACAACTTAAAATCTACAGTTCAAGAAGACCAAATGTTTCACATTGACATTGAAGAATTGGTCAAATCGACAGGACAAATTTAGGAACAATAAATATTTATATTGCTGCTATCAAGAAAATGCCAATATCTATGTTTATTCCTGAGCTACATCGTCATCATCAATATCCCAGCATGCATTTATAAATATGACTTTATCATTGTGTGATTCCATGTTGCTTTAACCACAAACTAAATCGCTTGGGTTTTTTTCCATCAATAGTGTCATGAACAGCTCCTGAGCTCAGCAGAGGTAGAGTGATATTGAGAGAGAATCACTCACAGACAAAGACAGTCGGTGCACTCTGGGTGACCCATATTTTGGATGTGACAGCGAGAGAGGAAGGAAGTTGTAAGCGTCGCCCCTGGCCTGTTTCGCTTGATCAAGCTGCTGGCTGGAACCAACACAGTCATGACGGAGCCGGCGTGGAGCTGCCTCTACCAGGGATTATGGAGAATCGCAGCCCTGAGCAAGGAGCATAACAATGTACCTCGCAAGATGTCACCTTTTCGCTTCACTCATGCCGATAATGTGCTTCCTCCATATTGGAATATAGGCACTTAACATCCACAAAGTGTTCCTATAACTTTTCCAGACATAGTTAGAAAATGTATTCTAATCATTGATATGATCAATATTTTTGAGCAACATTTATGTTTAATTATTCAAGAGACTATGGTGTCTAGGTGTATAGGTTTTTGATAGTGTTACACTGTAAACCCGGATAAGTTGAGTTTACTTAAAAAATTTTAGGAAACTGGTTGCCCTAAAAAAATTAAGTAATGTTTGATGAAAACTTGAGTGAATTTAACTTAAAAAGATGAGTGGATGGCATCTTTATTTTGAGTTCAATACACTCAACACCATTAGTAATATTAATTACTTTGCCCCTTTATTCCACTGAAAACTTTAAGTCAAGTGCACTAACCTCCAAGATGATTGAACTTAAAAACATTACTAATATCAATTGCTTTACATATATTCCACTTATAACTTTAAGCTGAATACACTGACCTCCAAGTTGATTTACCTTAAAAATTCCTTTGCCCAATTACTTCACTATCTGAAGAGTAAAATAAAATGTGTTTAATAAAAGAAACCCATACAGATTAAATTAATTAAGAAAATAAAAAGCAAAATCACAAAAGTACATTCTTGTCAACATGTTTTATTAAACTTGTCTTTATCATGTTATCAAACAAAATAGGTTTGCAATCAAAAAATCAAATAGGACTCTTGAATGAATCAGGATGGCATTAAACTACAAAATCAATGTCAATGCTACAACATAGGTAGCAATAGGAATTAAACTATATCAGCGCTAATAACACAAGTTATACACCAATCAGCATTGAAGAAAATGCAAAAATCAGTGGCAAGTTGGGGGGGGGGTTTTATGAAGTGTTACTGTTACACGTGTTGGTGATAATAATGAGATCTGGGAGTGATGTGGAGTGAAGGAGAGGTGTGGGAAGTGGGGTTGTGGGGTGGGTGAAAGATTATGAGAAATGGTTGTATTGGGGATGGGGTGAGATGGTGGGGTGAGTATGAGGAGGTTGGGGGGTTGGGGGGGGAGGTTGGATTAGTTTTGCGAGCTATTGGGGGGGTGAGGGGGGGGGGGGGGTGGGGGGGGGGGTGGGGCAGATTGGGATGGGGGATGGTTTGGTGAATTTTTGTATATGGGTAGGAGGGGGGATGGGGGGAGGATTTAATTAATGTGGTAATATAGTAAAATGAATTTAGGTGAGATAGGGGGGTGGGGAGGAGGGGGTGTGGGGTGGTTGGGAGTATTGGGGATTGGTGGGGAATATAGGGATGGATAGGGGTATGAAAGGGGGAGGGGGGGGATGTTGGTTTTGTTTTTGTTTTTTGTTGGTTTGTTGGGTGGGTTTGTGTGGGGGTTGTGGGGGGGGGGGGGTGGGGGGGGGGGGGGGGTGGTTGGTGTTTTGGGGGGGGGTTTGGGGGGGGTGTGGTGGGTGGGGGGGTTGGTGGGGGGGGGGGGTTTGTGGGGGGGTGGGGGTGTTTGTGGGTGGGGGGGGGGGGTGGTGGTTGGAGTTGGGGTTTTGGGTGGTGGGGGGTGGGTGTGGTTGTGTGTTGTGGGTTTTGGGGGAGGGTGGGTGGGTTGGGGGTGGGTGGGTTGGGGTGGTTGGGTGGGTGGTGTGTTGGGGTGGGGGTTGGGGGGGGTGGGGTGGGTGGTGTGGGGGGGTGGGGGGGGGTGGGGGGTGGGGTGTGGGGGGGGGGGGGGGGGGGGGGGGGGGGGGGGGGGTGGGGGGGGGGGGGGGGGGTCTACATCACAATCGAGCAATGCATATTTCCAAAGTTATGAAACCTCAGGTCGTCTGACTAAAACATTACATTTACTAAATTGATTGTGGGATTTGGTGACAATTTACATTCAAATACATTATAGACAGACAACTTCTGTCAGAGTACTATTATACTATTATACTCCAAGGGATTTTTACCATTTTTTTTCTTATTTTTACACACAGACCACAGATTTAGTCTCGGCTGTGGAAAACAACTGGGCAATTTGAAAACACAGAAACTCTGTTTACTCACAACCTTCGGATTATTCAGAACATTTCAATGGATTTATGAAAAATTCCTTTGTCATGTTTCGCCTCTAAAGAAAAGAATGTGTCCTTCACCCATTCGGGGACGTTATGTAATAAATAAAGTCCTTAATCAAGGAGTATGTGGCCCACGGAATTGATTAAAGTTACCTATCCCCCAATAGGGTTTGTCAAGCTACTCTAAACTTTAGAATAGTCTAAATTTGTGCATACGTCAATGATCACATCCATCCCCAAATGAGTGCTTGTGTTTGTGTTGTCCTGACTTCTGGACATGTGTAGATGTGTGTTTGAGTCATGTTTTGTTTACGATACCCGGACCATGGTCTGCCTCGTCCAGATCGTCCGTGGGACCCTCCCAGACCCTCGTCCTCCAGTCAGTCAGTCCCATATCGTTCATGCTGGTTCCTGTGGAACTGTCCGGAAACGTGGTGGGCCTGGGGCCATTTTGTCAGAACCAGTTACTGCTTTGTCTCTGTCCACTCTTTGACTGCTGCTGTGGGCGGGGCTTCCCTTGTCAGTGGGAAAGTTTCTTGTGAACTGCCCTATCTCTTCACAGGGATAGAAGCCTGTGGTCCTCTCTCTTCACAGGGATAGAAGCCTGTGGTCCTCTCTCTACACAGGGATAGAAGCCTGTGGTCCTCTCTCTTCACAGGGGTAGAAGCCTGTGGTCCTCTCTCTTCACAGGGATAGAAGCCTGTGGTCCTCTCTCTACACAGGGATAGAAGCCTGTGGTCCTCTCTCTTCACAGGGGTAGAAGCCTGTGGTCCTCTCTCTTCACAGGGATAGAAGCCTGTGGTCCTCTCTCTACACAGGGATAGAAGCCTGTGGTCCTCTCTCTACACAGGGATAGAAGCCTGTGGTCCTCTCTCTACACAGGGATAGAAGCCTGTGGTCCTCTCTCTACACAGGGATAGAAGCCTGTGGTCCTCTCTCTACACAGGGATAGAAGCCTGTGGTCCTCTCTCTACACAGGGATAGGAGCCTGTGGTCCTCTCTCTACACAGGGATAGAAGCCTGTGGTCCTCTCTCTACACAGGGATAGAAGCCTGTGGTCCTCTCTCTACACAGGGATAGAAGCCTGTGGTCCTCTCTCTACACAGGGATAGAAGCCTGTGGTCCTCTCTCTACACAGGGATAGAAGCCTGTGGTCCTCTCTCTACACAGGGATAGAAGCCTGTGGTCCCCTCTTCACAGGGATAGAAGCCTGTGGTCCTCTCTCTACACAGGGATAGAAGCCTGTGGTCCTCTCTCTACACAGGGATAGAAGCCTGTGGTCCCCTCTTCACAGGGATAGAAGCCTGTGGTCCTCTCTCTACACAGGGATAGAAGCCTGTGTTCCTCTCTCTACACAGGGATAGAAGCCTGTGGTCCTCTCTACACAGGGATAGAAGCCTGTGGTCCTCTCTCTACACAGGGATAGAAGCCTGTGGTCCTCTCTACACAGGGATAGAAGCCTGTGGTCCTCTCTACACAGGGATAGAAGCCTGTGGTCCTCTCTCTACACAGGGATAGAAGCCTGTGGTCCTCTCTCTTCACAGGGATAGAAGCCTGTGGTCCTCTCTCTACACAGGGATAGAAGCCTGTGGTCCTCTCTCTACACAGGGATAGAAGCCTGTGGTCCTCTCTCTACACAGGGATAGAAGCCTGTGGTCCTCTCTCTACACAGGGATAGAAGCCTGTGGTCCTCTCTCTACACAGGGATAGAAGCCTGTGGTCCCCTCTTCACAGGGATAGAAGCCTGTGGTCCTCTCTCTACACAGGGATAGAAGCCTGTGGTCCTCTCTCTACACAGGGATAGAAGCCTGTGGTCCCCTCTTCACAGGGATAGAAGCCTGTGGTCCTCTCTCTACACAGGGATAGAAGCCTGTGTTCCTCTCTCTACACAGGGATAGAAGCCTGTGGTCCTCTCTACACAGGGATAGAAGCCTGTGGTCCTCTCTCTACACAGGGATAGAAGCCTGTGGTCCTCTCTACACAGGGATAGAAGCCTGTGGTCCTCTCTACACAGGGATAGAAGCCTGTGGTCCTCTCTCTACACAGGGATAGAAGCCTGTGGTCCTCTCTCTTCACAGGGATAGAAGCCTGTGGTCCTCTCTCTACACAGGGATAGAAGCCTGTGGTCCTCTCTCTACACAGGGATAGAAGCCTGTGGTCCTCTCTCTACACAGGGATAGAAGCCTGTGGTCCTCTCTCTACACAGGGATAGAAGCCTGTGGTCCTCTCTCTTCACAGGGATAGAAGCCTGTGGTCCTCTCTCTTCACAGGGATAGAAGCCTGTGGTCCTCTCTTTACACAGGGATAGAAGCCTGTGGTCCTCTCTCTACACAGGGATAGAAGCCTGTGGTCCTCTCTCTACACAGGGATAGAAGTCTGTGGTCCTCTCTCTACACAGGGATAGAAGTCTGTGGTCCTCTCTTTACACAGGGATAGAAGCCTGTGGTCCTCTCTCTACACAGGGATAGAAGCCTGTGGTCCTCTCTCTTCACAGGGATAGAAGCCTGTGGTCCTCTCTTTACACAGGGATAGAAGCCTGTGGTCCTCTCTCTACACAGGGATAGAAGCCTGTGGTCCTCTCTCTACACAGGGGTAGAAGCCTGTGGTCCTCTCTCTACACAGGGATAGAAGTCTGTGGTCCTCTCTCTACACAGGGATAGAAGCCTGTGGTCCTCTCTCTACGGGATAGAAGCCTGTGGTCCTCTCTCTACACAGGGATAGAAGCCTGTGGTCCTCTCTCTACACAGGGATAGAAGCCTGTGGTCCTCTCTCTACACAGGGATAGAAGCCTGTGGTCCTCTCTCTACACAGGGATAGAAGCCTGTGGTCCTCTCTCTACACAGGGATAGAAGCCTGTGGTCCTCTCTCTACACAGGGATAGAAGCCTGTGGTCCTCTCTCTACACAGGGATAGAAGCCTGTGGTCCTCTCTCTACACAGGGATAGAAGCCTGTGGTCCTCTCTCTACACAGGGATAGAAGCCTGTGGTCCTCTCTCTACACAGGGATAGAAGCCTGTGGTCCTCTCTCTACACAGGGATAGAAGCCTGTGGTCCTCTCTCTACACAGGGATAGAAGCCTGTGGTCCTCTCTCTACACAGGGATAGAAGCCTGTGGTCCTCTCTCTACACAGGGATAGAAGCCTGTGGTCCTCTCTCTACACAGGGGTAGAAGCCTGTGGTCCCATTCTTTGCAGAGATAGAAGCCTGTGGTCCTCTCTCTTCACAGGGGTAAAAGCCTGTGGTCCTCTCTCTACACAGGGATAGAAGCCTGTGGTCCTCTCTCTTCACAGGGATAGAAGCCTGTGGTCCCATTCTCTGCAGGGATAGAAGCCTGTGGTCCCATTCTCTGCAGGGATAGAAGCCTGTGGTCCCATTCTCTGCAGGGATAGAAGCCTGTGGTCCCATTCTCTGCAGGGATAGAAGCCTGTGGTCCCATCTGTATCAGGGCGGGTGGTGGGCGGAGGGGGGACAGAGTTCTTGGCATGACTGGTTTGGGCACAGGGGGCCGGACTTGTCCATGTTGGGCTTTGTGGGTAACTGACGGGGGTTCTGGTTCAGGAAGGGGTTCGTCTTACCCTCCATATCATTGTCCTCCATCAGAGTCTTAGGGTTGGGGACGTTTAGTCACACGTCCAGGGTCTAGGTCGGGGTCCACACATCTGACCGGCTCAGAAGCATCCACGATCCCAGGGTTATCTATGTGAAAATAGAAAAAAAAAAGATACGGCAGTAACTTGCCCTTTGATAGATTGCGTGTGCGTGTTTGCGTGCATGTGTGTGTGTGTGTGTGTGTGTCGTCGCGCCTATACGCCTCTTGATAGAGTATTCAGGTGGTTCGATTGGGTCTCTTACATACATTCATGCTCTCATTCTGACTTTCCATTTGCTCTCCACACAGACTTGTATTTCTTTGTTTATCAGTCACTCTCACAGTCATTCTCGGTCACTCCAGTTCAAGTCTTATCACTCCTGGCTCGCTTCACACATCTCATTTCACTTTCATACCAGTCTGTGTCGCACAGGACTGTACTGGTTCTGGGCTCTGTATGTGTTTGTAATGTGTGTATGGTTACATTTCCCCCAATGTAATTAACCAACTAATTAGTTTAAATCAACTACTCTTATTTTCTTTTCTTTTACTCCCTCTACTTCATCCGTTCACACACTCAAACATTTGTCATGTTTAATGATCTCATGAATAATATCAGATGACATTTTCTTTTTCTTGGGTATATTAAGTTTCTCTTTTTCTAAGTTTTCTTTGAGTTTATATAATTGGTTCAAACTGAACGACCCTCCTTCAGGAAAACCATATTTTTAGACCATACATTTAAACATTCAAGGGCTGTTGGCCCATATTTTCCGGCCATTGCCTTCGTCACCGCGGTTTGTGGGACCTTGTCCCTGTCAGAAGACAATGATCCCTGATTTTGACCCATCTTGGCCCACTATGGCTGTCCCTATTCTCCTTACTATACCCTCACTAGTCCAAGTCAAGCTAGTTAATACACAATTAACCCTTAAACTTACTAGTCCAAAGTCAAGCTAGTTAATAACATCTGTAAACATGAAGACAGGAACCATTTAACTCTTAAACTCACTAGTTAACGTCAAGCCAGTTAAAAAACATCTGTAAACATGAAGACAGGAACCATTTAACTCTGAGAACAGGACAGCCAAGGCCTCTCGCTGGGTGAAAATGGGGCTTTTAGTTTTGCGCGGAGAGATAAAATACGGGGTTCTTTTGACAGTTTGAAAGAAAACAGCTCT